TAGTTTAAATCACAAAAATCACTCGTATCTTATCGCTGTCACTTGCAAGATTGACAGATCACAAAAACTGTCTGTCGCGCACGTTAGCTTTTAGAGCAACAAGTTTAGAGAAATACAATTCATCCACACGCTCTAGATATCTTCTAAAAAATCACCACCTTGATAAAGAACAATTTCGGATGATATACTTATCGATGTTGATGTGGAAGTTTGGCTCATGTTTAGCACTAGCCTACATTTCCAGTTTACATACGTGACTTTCACTTTCAATCTGTTCTCAACCAGAAATGTAAACACGTCTAATGTTTTGGACAGAGTTATTGCTCTTTAAAATCCGCGGTAAATTCGAATTAAAACAAAAAATACCGTTATATAATATATTGCAAAACATTACAACAAATTCATTATAACAGTCATCTATTTCAGTTTCATAATTAACACTTTAAAAATACGAGATAAACTTTTTCAGAAGCACGTGTACTGCATAATTTTTTTCACGCTTTTTTTTTTTTTTTTTGATTGTGACGCAAACGTTCAGAACTATCGCCGATTTCTCATTATGAAGTGTGCCGCATCTGGACCCTTTTTCCCAGTCGCGGTCACATTTGTTGTTGGAGTCTAATTTTCAAGGATTTATTTGTTCGAAGGAATTTGATTTCGCAGTGAATAAATTTCTGAGCGTTGATTTTTTGAAATTTTGCACAGAGGGGTTGATTTAATGGGTGTCATCATACCATAAAATCAACGAAAATTAAATTTCTAGGAACATAAGTCGATTCACCATAGCATAGGAATTAAAATAAAGTGAAGTGTGTATAAATGTTACATTACAACAAGAGGCCCACGGGCCTTATAGGTCACCTGAGTATCATGAAACAACTTTCCAGCGATTGTATTTGGTTCGTGTTTTAATACAAAAGCCATGAAATTCACAAATTTTGAAAGAGGCACCATTGCTTATCAAACGGCAGATTTCAAAGCATTAATTTATTTTTAGTCAAAGTACCCCCCTGGTACCCCTGACCCAGAGGCCCTGAAATTATCTATTTTGAAAGAGGTCCCTTTCTTCATTATAAGGCCAGCATTTTTTTATGTTTAGGTTTAGTTATGAACATGAGAATAAAAAAGTCCAGAAGGAGAAGGAAATATAAAAAAAAATTTTTTGATAAATCAATTATTAACATTTGTACATTCTTTTTTATGCTATCCTAATAGGCTCCTTACCACTGGACACATAATGCTTACAAATAGGAAAGTAGAACATTTAATTGCTTATTTCATCATCTGCCAGTTTGGGCCAGTTATATAAATTTTGTGATGTTGATCAAAATATATTTTAAAAAATCAATTCTTTAAAAGTCTTTCAATATATCTTCATTTTTTTAAAGGCCGAGATTTTTAACTGTACGGTTTTCTCAGGTAAGGGGAGGGACTAAATTTTACGAGCGTGGTACCCCGAGGCATTGATGGTCGTGCAGACCGTGGGAAGCGCTAATCCCTATACACAAACAGTATACACAGGAAGTCAATGAGTATTACCTGTACAGCTTGCTGGCCTACTGTTCATCATACATGTAAAATTAGTAGATCTCGACATCGTGAATAAAAAATATCATTAGTAATAATAAATGATCATTGTAAAATTCCATAATTTCTGACATAATAAATATTAAAACAAGCAGAAATCTCACCGGTCGACTTTTGTAAAAAAAAAAAAAAATCTACGGTATGTACGTCATATTGTTTGTCACAGCAGCAATGACTTGAGTTCGTTGTTAAAAGAAATATAATGAAATGCAGGTATAAATTCAACAGTAAAAGACTCATCCTTGCCTGTCCCTTTCAAAATCTTAAAAACTATTCATAATTATCGTAAATATCGTAGCAATTAGATCTTCAATCACGGTCAAATAGAAACAGTTACTTCCCGTTTGTATAAAAAGCCGCGTGGTCCTATTTTTAGCAAATAGACATTCTGTATCTTGTGAAAAATTCGCCATAACGACTGTTTCGTTAAGTTAGAATTATATACAAATGTGTGTATTTTATCGATAAGTAAATTCAGATTATAATTAAAAAACTTACAACAAAATCTTGATTTATTGCTAACTTCTGTATTTCTTTTAAAACTATTTTTAACACCTGTGACCTTGAACAGAGGTAAGAAAGCACGTAACAAGAAATGCTCGGTTATAAAAAGGGAAAAGGAAAAGAAAGAAACTCTAAATACTGTAATAATTGTCCAGGCGAAGTTGTTACTAATCAGATATTTTGTTTTCAACCTTACTATCCATTTCATGTTAAAAATAAAAATGTTACCAGGTTATTTTTTCCTTTATTTTCATCGTAATTTTTTCGCTGCGTCTCAAACCAAGAATCTTTTTACGAGTAAACACAAAATTTCAGCCACCTATGCACTTTTCATTAAAAAAAAATTACACGATCTTGGTTTATTTTATTGAAACACTTTGAGATCATTTTCATTTTTTAATGTTTGTAATGCAGATAATTATAATCAATTATAATCAAGCTAAAATTGTTTGCATCGAAATGACCTCTCATTGGGATGGCAATTTAGCGGTAAACATCAAAAGACCGAAAGTTAATTTGATGGTGGCCACGCGTGTCAAACAAGGTGAAAAAGATATACACAGGGACTAGTAGCTAAATGTCAATCATTTTCAAGTACCCAATGATGGACCTTAATTTATTTCATTGACGGGGGAATCCAGACCAGGTAAATCTGAGGGCGGTGCTTATTATCTCGGGCTTTAATATGTGTTAGGTGAATGTGTAGACATTGTTCTAAAATTTACTTGATGCCTAAAATTATAATTCCTATCAGAAAACAGACAGAGAGTATTGGGGAGTAGGGTGAACATTTTTTCAATTAAGTTTGAAATAATTTTTCTGGCTGATACAAATGATACTACATGCCTGTATATATTTGTATATTCTTGCCTTTTAATACTTGAATTTTTGTTATTTCTTCAGGTTATTGTTTATTTCTTCCTCAAATGGACTTAACTTCTCCCATAGTTTTATTCATTACATCTGATGCATAAGCAACCCTTTTCTGAAGAATAATGCTTGGACTGTAAGCTATAACAGAGACCTAAGCAATGTCGCTGGCAATATGCAATAGCTACCACGGGCAGTTTAAAACCTGGGGGAGGAAAATAATTTACAGACACATACTTTTGAAACGAATACATCATTATCTCACCAGCAAGTCATTGTGCAACAAAGTTGTCAGCATTTTATTTGTCCTTTGAACGGGTGAAACGTTTTGAATGGCACTCTTATCGATGAATTTTACACTAAACCAAGCTATCTTCTCAGATCTAGCTTTATTTACCCGTCGTTTCATCGTAAAACCGGAAGTGCGAGTTCGTAAATTTGAAATCTCGATCCCGACTCAAATTTGACATCGGAAAGAAAATTTTTTTTATTTTTTTCTGAAAATTCAAAACCTTGAGCGGAGGGTTTGTAAAACTGAAGATAAAATAAATCCTGGCCTTAAATATGTAATTAGATCATTAGCAGGAGCAAAGGATAAGATGTTCAAAGAATTCATGCATTCACTATATAATCATTAGAGCCCCACCCTAAAACAAGAACCCCTGACGCTGGGGCCATAAAATTCACAATTTTGGTAGAGGCAATCTTGCTCATCATAACTGTATACTTAGTTAGTTTATTTAATACCCAGGAGCAGAGAAGAAGATTTTCAAAGAATTAATGTATTTTCACTATATAATCAATAAAACCCTGCCCTAACACTACAACCCCTGACCCTGGGGCCATAAAATTCACAATTTTGGTAGAGGCACTCTTGCTCATCATAACTATGTACTTAGTTGTTTTATTTAATACCCAGGAGCAGAGAGGAAGATTTTCAAAGAAATAATGCATTTTCACTACCTACTTATTTAGCCCCGCCCTAACACTAGAACCCCTGACCCCAGGGCCATGAATTTCACAATTGTGGTAGAGGACTCATTGCTGATTACAATCATGCAAACAGTTTGACTGCTTGATGTCCAGAAGTAAAGAAGAAGATTTTTAAAGATTGCATTAATTTTAGTGGTTTTGGCCCCACCCCTCAGGCCCCAGGGGGGCAGGGACCATGAAATTCACAATTTTTGTTCCCCTTCACCCACAGATGCAGTATACAAAATTTGGTTGAAATTGGTTTAGCGGTTTCAGAGAAGAAGCTGAAAATGTTCAAATGTTAACACACGACGGACGACGAACGACGGACGACGACGGACAAACACGGATGGCAGTAGGTCACCGGAGTGACTCAGGTGACCTAAAAATGTAAAATGTTAAATCCAATTCATCCACTTCGTGAAAGTTGAAATGAATACTATCTTTTTAGCCGGGCTTATTGCTCAAAGAGCAATTGCCGGCTTATGTGATCCTGTTCAAGGCAGGATGTTGACCCCATAGTCGCCATTTTAAAGTTACGTGCAAAAATATAGTTCTTATTCTCAACCGCTTTTGAGATAATACAAACGCTAAATAAAGCAACAAAAATAAAACGAAGTTTTATCTATATAAAATAAACATTAGTAGTAATGACTTTGAAAACTTCATCAGTCAAAGAACATAGTTCGTTAGCATAAGGATTTTTGATAATCAGTGTTACCGTAGTTCTCTACACATACGAGGTAAAGCAGGAGAGGGAACCAGACTGGCCTGTTTGTTTACATTCAGCTGCGGTACCAGATTTATTCTGATTCTGACAAAATCGGACCGTGGTATTAGGATTGAAAAACTCACTGTCAGTGTCTTACCATTAACGTGATTCATGTAAGAAATCCATTCTACTCTGTAAATGAGCCCGGCTTTCTGTACTTCTGAGTACTTTGATTTTATATATACGTTTAACGATTCCCCTCCTCTCTCTCTCTCTCTGTCTCATTTGTTCTACGTATGTTTTTACATTGTGACAAATTTGTTAATATATCTCACTATGTTTAACAATCTACCAGTCACCTACCTAAGGTCCCATCTGCAGTCCCCGCTAGAAATAGTTTATACTTCTCTGCTTCGTCAGAAATGGCGAACTTTTCGTACAACTCGTACAGCCTCTTACCATTCTGGAGAGTGATGGAGACATAAAGGGACGAGTTGTTACCTTTTGTTAACTGATGAATTACGTCATTTCCTGTATAAAAATTAATAGGCGTATTGCAATGCACAATTTTCTTAAAGAAATATTCCCCCAAAATCATTTTATTATTTATCTATTTCAACTATTGATTACCGCTCATGGGAAGAGTTCATCATATTCGACAGAACATTTACTTTTTCTCTTGTCCTCCACTATAAATATTTAATTTTTTCAAAGACCGTTCAGTTTATTGTTTCACCTTGGAAGAGGACAAAACACAAGCAATGTAATGCCCTCTGGTAAATGAAATGTTCTGTGTTTTTCCTCACATTGTCTCATTTAACTTTTCAACATTTTTCATGTTTTAGGAACTATCAATAAGAATTGACAAATGCTGTTTTGAAATGAGACCTTAATTTCCTTTGTTGACATGATACATAGATCACTTATCAAATATGAAATTAGAATAATGGCCCAGTTTTAATAGGATTTATATTTACCTATCCAAACATCCTGTTCCGGTGAACCGAAACCATTCTTATACTCCAGCCAGTCCCTGTCAAAGTCTAAGGATCCCTTTACTCGTTTTTGTATAACCTTCCAAAATAAATACGTCTATTTATTCATTTAACTTTTATAGTGAAGAATATCTGTTTGATAAGTGTATAAAAGATTCAGAGTGTGAGTTTCGTATCCACTAACAATCTTTTGTACGATAGAATGAGAGATTTCAATAAACTTTCTTTTGCCAATTTTAAAATTTAATTCATAAACATAGATACCGTCCACCCGCCTCTCCTTGTTTTCATGTCACAGAAAACTCTGATAGCCAATATGTCGGTACCATACGGGTAAATCTGGTATACACCGGAATTAGTGTGACCATTTTTACGCAGATCCTTGCAATCAGCTGCAATACGAACTAAAACAGAAAAAAAACAAACATGTATATATTTTGATTTTAGAAATATATGCAGGTTTGAAAAAGAAGGACCCTTAAAAAATTTACCTCTTTACTCTTAATATGTAATTAAGAAAGTCTTGCATAGTTTACTTAAATTGCTCTAGAAATGCTTGTAGAATAGTTATGGTCTATAGTTCCTGCATTGGATTTTTCATTCTACGTTTTAATGAGTGCATTTTTCCGTCCAAAATGAGAAGTATGAATATGAGTTTTATAATAAGAATATAAAGGGAAAATCTTCTATAGAACAGGGAAGCCATGATAAGTCACATTGAAAGTAAATAAAATTATCCCGTTTTAATCGCTTCCAAAATAATTCAGAATATTATTTAATGGTGCCAGTTTGCTTTTATACTAGGGACAAGTACTTTCCCTTATTGATTGATCATTTGAAACTCGGTTGAAAGTTTTATTAGAAATCTTTTTAATATACCGTTACAGACTGAAATCATATAGTATTGTAGATTGCTGAATATATTCCTGGAATTCATTATGGCGTAGTTTAGCTAGAAGAACCACACGCGAAATAAAATTACTCGCCTTTATTTTCATGGTGCTGAAATCAATGCAGCTGCAGAACTGTAGCTCTCAGAAAAAAAAAAATTGACAGACTGGAGAGCTACAGTGCCAACCATTTATTGCGCACAAAAAAGTGCGCTCAGTTCTTTTTTAATTTTTCAAAATTCTTAAATCAGCTGCAAAATAAGCTAGATTGAAAAAAAACCCTCTCTTTTATCAATTACTCTCCTAGTTGACCTCTGTACGAAGCGCTGGACCGAATTATCTTGCCAACCAAAAATAGCAGTATAAATAGGCGAAATTTCCAATGATCTCAATTTTAGGGGCAGGAGGGCTGTTAACAACAATTATAAGGAATGTTTTATTCTGGAAACAGTAAAAGAATATGATAGGAACACAAGGTAAGTAATATTTTTAGTTGACAGTTATAATAATATTGAGAAATAAATCGAGAAACAGCCCACATTTATGTAAATCAATGTTCAGTTTTCTTTCAATGGGTGGCACAGTAGCTCTCCAGTCTGTCATTTGTTTTCGGAGAGCTGCAGTTTTGCAGCTAAAATCTAAGTAGAATCTCTTAATCAACTTTCCATTTCTAAAATATTTTTCTAGGGATTTGACATTGCAGATCCCTTTTGCGTTAATAAGTACTCGCGAAAAACCAGGAATCTACATTATTATTTCTCTCTTAATATTGTGTATTTCAGGATATTTATATTACTGCTTCCCTCGTGTATGAAAGGCTATAGGTTCTATTCAGAAAAATGATATTGAAACTAAATCACTTAAGAATATGTAGGGAAAAATTTCTCCTATTAGGAACAGAAAAAGCCATGTTTAGTCATATTGATTTGGACTTATTCTTAGGTGGTAGATTAAAGTTTGTTCAAATTATGATTCTCCCTCCCCGGGGAAGGAAAGGGCGACAATGGCGATTTCTGCAATGGAATATGTAGTAAAAATTCCTTTTAAATTGTTCAAGAAAAGTAAAGTCACAAGTTATATTGATGTAGAGTATATTCAGGAAGTTCAGAATTCAAGTTTAAATTCAAGCCAAACCACAGCGTGCAGACTAAACCGATTTTTACTTTTTCTTAGCCAATGTGCTCGGGTGAGGGGTGTGGCCCATGGTCCTCTTGTTCTTAGAAGTAAGCATATTTATTTGTATTCGATAAGGATCCGGGTAAATATAAAAAGAAAGAAAAATACTTTAAGAGCGACAATATACAGATGTTCCTTTTTCCAAACCTTGACAAACCAGGTCCGTTATCCAGGTCCCGTTTTTATGGCACACGATCATTCCGGATCCTCGCTGTTCAAAGGAATCCAAGCATTTAATGTGCATTCGTTTTCTTATTCCTATTCCCTCCCATTTTTGTACATTCCATGTGGTATTTTTTATTATATCGACAGGGATTCCACAATCTGATGAAGAAAATTTCTGTCAATTAAACTAATTTCAACATTTCCTAAAAAGTAAGATTGATTGATTGTATGTTGTTTAGCAACCCTATCTCGAGAATTTTTCACTCACATGGAGACGCAACCACTTGTTAGTGGAGAGCTACGAATTGCATCATATACACGGCATTTAGGGCCACTACTCCAGTGAGGGGTCTTTCACGTGCCAGCACCTACTGCGACACGGGACCTCGGTTTATATACGGTCTCATCGAAGGACCGGTCTCCACGTTGCACACTCGGATTTGAACCCGCGACATAAGGATCGACTCCTAACTTCGCGACTGACACTCTAGCCACTGCGCCACGAGAGCAACATTTCTTAAAAAAAAAATTCTAAAGGTGTTTAAAAGGTGGATGAAATGTGACGAAAATGAGCAGCAAAGATGCTTAAAATGTATTAACTAATGAAACGGAAAAATATTTGTCCCCTGGTCAAATTTCCCAAGCTTAGCATTTCATGTTTGGTGGTTAAACGAAATATGAAGAAATTTATACGCCATGAATGAGAACATCCCGTGCGAAAAGTATCAGAATATTTGGACGTTTCAGATTGAGTTAAAGAGCTTTTCGTCTGCATGTGAGCTTTAAAACTCTACAACAATTTTATGTAATTGTGATAAATTAAAGCAGCAACGCTGCACTGGATCGTACAGAGATTTTTGTACCATTACAAGTAGAGCGCTCGTTCCGTGATAGGGATCGAGTTTGCGAGTTAGGATCTCGGTCCGACTGACCTTAACCGATTAAATGTGGGTAGCAATTGTTCCTTCGTCATGCGCTCGGCACTTAAAGTGAAAGTTACGGGCCCCACTGCTGAGACCGTAAAAGCTGAGGTCCATTCTCACTACAGGCGTTGATAAGATAAAGATCCCTCACTGCTCAATGACTCTGAGTGCCGAGTAGAGGTATAATTTGAAGTCCTTCACTACGTTATATGGTGACGTCTCCACAGGAGTGGAAAATCTCGAATGGGACGCAAAACAACATATAATCAATCGTTTCTATCAGAAATTAAACAAGCTTATTCAGAGAATTTGTGTCCCCCGCTTAGGGAAAAAGTATAATATGCGCAGTTCGGGGGAGGGAGGGGGGGGGAGTCGGATCCCCCTGACTGAATTTGTAGAATTATTAAATGTATACTGAAGCAAATGAAATATGCCAGTATGGATATAAAGTTTTGATTGCTTATTCTTTATTGTGTGCATAGAAGATTCTTTTTATATGGAATATTTACCACACTCTAACGATGATTTTATGAGTTTGTAAAAGCCAAACCTCATAACTTTTTCATTTGACATGCTGAATACTATCATTTAAAAAAAAAATTCGGAAAAAAAAGAAAATGGAACGTCCAAGATTCAAACCAGGGACATCTCACATACGAAGCGAGAGACATACCACTAGACCACAGAACCTCTTTAAACTGATGGAAATGATATGCAAAGATGAAGTCACATACTGTATATATTCCCGTTCGATGTTGTCAAAATTTTGCACAATACATGGTGTCTAATTTAACCTTTATTAAGGACAGATGATACAAACAATTTTTTTCTTTGAAATAGATTTTATATCATGTCACAAGTTTAGAAATGTGGATGGTTCTTAGAATTTTTTCTCCTAAGAACTGGAATATGAAAAAGACTTGGAAAATATTAGTAATATTTCAATGAAAAATCAAATATAGACAAATCACATTCAGTAAAGGTTTACAGGCGAAAACAATTTCCAGAATATGTTAACATGGTGCTAAAAGTGTAATATAAACTTAAGAAAAATATACCAAGCCGGGTGAATTTTATAAGGAAAAGCTAAATGGTAAAATTCAGCCTATGTGATATTGCTATTTTTTTGTCATTTTGATCTTCCTCTTAAAATTCACCTGGCTTGGTATATTTTTCTAAGGTTTATATTACACTTTTAGCGCCAAGATAACATATTCTGAAATTTATTTTCACCTGTAAACCTTTACTGAATGTGATTTGTCTACATTTATTTTTTCATTGAAATATTACTAATATTTTCCAAGTCTTTTTCATATTCCAGTTCTTAGGAGAAAAAATTCTAAGAACCATCCACATTTCTAAACTTGTGAAATGATATTAAATCTTTTTCAAAGAAAAAATTTGTTTGTATCATCTGTCCTTAAACAGTTCTAATAGATGTAATAAGAATATAAAGTCCACCGAGACTGTTTTATACGTAATAACTCTTCTCATGCCCCTGTGCTAAAAATAGCGACATGTAATACAAAAATACTAATAAAACAAAGGCGCAGGACACTTTGAGAGGGGTGAGAGAGGTCCTAGGGAGTTTTGGTATAAAATTACATTGCAAGAGCTCAAAATCGTCTTGAAATATCGCCCGGAAAGGAAAGTGTTACACACGGAGAGAATGTATAAATTTACGACCTTGAACTTTGACCTTTTGACATCAAAATCTTTAGTCCTCAGGGAGTTGCTATGCAACATTTCATTGCGAAAGCTCAAAGGGTTCTCGAGATATCATGTGGAAACGAATGCGTTACAGACAGACAGAAAGACGGACAGACCCAAATTAATATCCCCCACTTTTCAAGCGGGGGACGAAAAAATATATATACAAGATTATTTTGTTTCGCATAACTGATTCTATACATTCAACAAAGTATGCAGTCCGGAGCCTTTTCCGGGGTTTGTATAGAAAACATAAAGTTCCTAGGCCTTGATTAATATTTGAATAATTGAAAATAATTTACTAAAATTTCCTAACGCGGTTCCTGGTTTTTATCTAAAATTCTCTTCAATTATTAAAATGTTTCTCTTTATCAATATTTCTCTTGACTTCCTGCATGACAACGAAAAACAAACTTCACAACGCAAA